AGAATTCAGCTAAAGCTGGGCATACAATACAATCGTGAGCATCTATAATAAGTAAGTGAAATAAAGAATCCATGATTTATCATTTAGAGCCGGACTAATAGATATTTATGTACTAGGGTGTTTCTAAAAAATGTTTCTTTTAGACAGTGTCTAGATCTAATTGGAAAAAAGAAGAATCTAGTTTTGAGCTTGTAATATTGATATTTATATATATTTATATTCGATTCTATATAATTCAGAAGTAATGAAAAAATATTGGCTGTCTTATTTTAAAAAACAGTAATTGACATTCCTTAAATTTTAAAATTTGCTTTACCGAATTTGCTTTCTACATTTTAAATTGATAAAAAAAATTTGCTGTAAACATAGAAGATATATTAATAAAAAAATTAAAATAAATATGTTTTCTTAAATTAAAGTAAACACAAAAAACAAATTTCTTGCACCAAGAAAATTTTAAGGAAAACGAAAGTTATTTTGGAGCAAGAAAAAATTTTCTTGGCTCAAGAAACTTAATTCAAGAAATTTTCAACCTTCATTAATAATTTTTTAAGCTAAGCAAATTTACACTCCAGTCAAGAATTTTTTTTTTTTCAGTATACTAAAAAATTCAACAATACAAAAAAAAAGGACTAAAAAATTAGCAGTTATTTTCTTTTAAAATAAAATATTAAATGTCTTGTACGCGCTTAATATTTCGTCTAGACATCAGGAAGCTTTACAGCTGTTCAATCCCTACCCAGGATAGCAAGGGAGTCGAATTGTTTTATATTAAAGGAAATATAAAGACTACATGCGAGAAAGCGCGTCTCCATCTTGCGGTGCAGGACCAAACCACATAACAGTAAATGTGTAATTGTTCCGATCGGTACTTTAAAATTAATAAGGAATATTTTTTCAAAATTTGTTACAATATTAAGCTCAAATTTTGACCATGCTTATTTTTTTAGCATATTCTATGTAAGATTATATATAAAAAAATTCTATGTAATGTGTGTATGTTTAAATTCATGGTCAATTTATTTTTTTCTGAACCTGTTATTTGTTATTAATCATTTATTATTCCCTTGTGTTTTGTTTTTACATGTTGATGTCTTGGTGTAATACACTAAAGCAATTGGAGTTGGAATTGCGATGCAATGTCGAGCGGTAGTTCGGCAGCCTCACGTCCTTTGCTCATTGCTCTTACAGGTACATACACCATACACCATAGTCCCGTGTTTCAATCTGCCCAATTATAAAGGACGGATATGATGCTGTTGGGATGAAATTGCAGTATCGATTGGTGGCATTCAATTGCCTCATGTGCGACAGGTAAATAGACTAGGCATCCGCATACATTTGTGCATATACGTGTTCCAATTTCCCAGATGCATTGTAAAAAAAAAGGTCTTATTCATTCCATGAATAGTGGGATTATTAAAACTCGTTTATAATCAACCGTGTACCAAGCTTAATACTAATGATAAATGGATAAATCGATACAATTATAATTTACCTGACATATAGGATGTTTTAATTAAAATTTTAAATTTCGATGCTGTGAACGCGGCTATTCATTGAGTAAATTATTAATTACCAATATTATTAATTATCGTTTGAATAGATTGGAAATAAAAAATATGGTTTAAAAATTTCTATATCAATTAATAATTTTGTTAATTTTAATTGACTAGTAATTTTCCATATATTAATAATTCAAAAGTCACTATGTGATTGCCGTGACTTGTGAACTTTCAATAAGTAAAATTTTACTTTATTAAATAATTACTTTTGTTAAATTGAACTGTACTTTTTTAACTATTGACGTTTTTAAAGATATAAGCTCATCCCGATGTTACACTCATCAAGAGCTTTCATTTGAGTATCCACATGCATTTTATATATATTTTTCATATATAGATATATATAATATATATTAATATATGAAAAATTGATGTGGGTACTTAAATGAAAGGTCTTGATGAGTGTAACATCGGGATGAGCTTATATCTTTAAAAATGTCAATAGTTTACAAGATACAAGGTCATTTCTTAATTATGTTAAATTGCCATGTACTTTCTTACCTATTGACCTTTTTAAAGATATAAGCTCATCCTGATGTTACACTCATCAAGAGCTTTCATTAGAGCACCCACATGCATTTTTGATATATTTTTCATATATACATATACATAATATATATAAATATATGAAAAATTGATGTGGGTACTCAAATGAAAGCTCTTGATGAGTGTAACATCAAGATGAGCTTATATCTTTAAAAATGTCAATAGTTTTCAAGATACAAGGTCATTTCTTAGTTATGCAGCCTAAAATGTGTCTACGTTTTAATATTAATTTTCATTAAAAAATTAATAAATAACATTTTTTCAACTGATAAAATTTAAAGTGTAAATTCTAAGTTTGTAAATAAACTTTTTCATTGATAAACTTTTATTTACCCGCGACACACAAGTTAACTTTTAAAGTCAACACTGTTTAAATATCTAAAACCCTAATCAACAAATTAAACTAAATATTTATCCATCATTAAAAGTTACTTAAAAAAAAATCAATATTCAGATAGCTAATTAATTATTCATTCAAATAAATGCTAGTTTGTAATCAACTACTTTCACTAATTACAAATTGTAATAAACAAGTAAGTAATTTATTTATTTAAAAACAAATTACTTTCTACCAAATAAATTTTTTATAAATAATAATAATACCGAACCTAGACATAATTTTCAATTGTCTTCCTTCAAGGTCATTGTTATATTTCACATGTTTATTTAAAACTCTAAAATAAACAATTTTTAAAAAAATCAACTCTCTAAATTATCAAATATTGTTCTGCTATTTTTAGTTAAAAAAAAATTAGCATCATAAAACAGCATGAAAATAATATAATAATTAAAGCGTCAAGCCAGTAATTGAATAACTGGAAAATAATTTAGTAATAATTGTTCAACACCGACAATTGAGTCGATGATAATCATAATTATCTGTGATATTAATTCGGGATGTATTTTCAGGTCTGGAACTAGGGTCGACTGAAACAACTCCTGATTGTCGATCATTGCCTTTGTCTGTTATTCTATCAAGGCTTTTAATTGATTGCAACATATAGACATACCTCTCTGCTCTCTACAGACACCTATACACACAAATTCCATCGCCAATATATATACATAATAATAATAAAATTTATAAACCGAAATAGAGCAACTTACATCTTATGAATTGACGAATAACCAACTCAGCATCCGCACGCTGCTGATCTTCAGTTAGTGTCCAATCATCAGTAAATAAATAAATTAAATTTTATACATATATATTTATCTGAAATATTTTTAGTTTTTCGTCCACCGCAGATAAGAATTGATCTCCAAACGCGGGGTTAACGCTTCAATGTTTTTTGATTAATAGATAAAAAAAAAAATTAAATAATAATAAAACACTTACTCACTAGACTCGTTATTGTTCACTAGACACGTCAAAGTAATTAATAGTAAACTACGTTTGCTTTCACTAACAAAAGATTCGAAATATTCTCTGATGATTTAGAGAAAAAAAGAGGAGGAATTATTATTATTATTGTTATTATTTTTTTTTTTTATTAAACGCGATTGAAAGAGAGCCGAGAAACAAAAAATTCACTCACTAAACGTCATTCACTTACACTTATTATTATTACTATTGCGGTTATTATTATTATTTTAAATATTTCAAAATATTTTCACTGTTTTTTATGTTTAATTTATAAGTTTTATTTAATAAGTAAGATCTTTTTATCTTAATGTGTTTATATTATTAAATTATTGGTTATTTTATGTATTTAGTATATTTGTACGTTCAGTTATTGACAAATACGGATGAGGCGTCGCGACACCACCATGGTTCGTTTTTTCTTTCTCTCTCGCTCTTATTTGAAGCTGAGAACTGCGAAAGCGACAGTAGCGCCACTCTATGATTGGCGGTATTTTTTTAATTTGTTTAGTGTTATCAGTACCGGCTTTTTTTGTTTGTTTGTTAAAGCGGATAAATAAATTAAATAGAAATTAATGTAAATTTTATTTTTTAATAATAATTATTAAAAAATATTTTTGAAATTATAATTTAATTAATTAACTGATAAATTTTTGTGTTATAAAAAAAATAACAAATAGTTTTTTAAAATTCACATTTGTAAAATTTTTTTGTAATTATTTATTTATTAATTAAAATCTTAATTAATTAAAAAAAAAATATTTTTCTAATTTTTTTCATTTTAAAATCAAAAATCAATATAAAATTTCTAAAAATATATTCACCTTAAAAGAGAATAAATAAATATAATAATAAAGTTAGCCGACGTTTTTAATTATTTGATTTGTTTTTAAATAATTAAATTATAAGAAAAAAATATTTTTAAAAAATTGCACTTTTAGTTTTTCAAGTTTTTTTATTCAAATAAAAATCTTTTTTTTTTTTATTTGTATTAAAAATAATTTTTTCAATAAAAAAAAATCTAAAAATATTTAGATGTCGGCTAACTTAATTTTCATATAAATATGATACTAAAGTTAGCCGACGTTTTTAATTTTTTGATTTTTTTTTAATAATTAAATTAGAACAAAAAAAAATTTTTTTTAAATTGCACTTACAATTTTTCAAGTTTTTTACAAGTGAAATTTTTTTTTTATTTTTTTGTAACAATTTTTTTAATAAAAAAAAAATTCTAAAAATTACAAGAGGTCAGCTAACTTAATTTTCATAAATAAATTCCTTTGATACCCACCGAGTAAAAAGACATCTAAATCCCCAAGATGTCACCTAATGAACCTTCCCTCAAAATAAACACCAAAAACTCCAACTCAGACTCCCAAATAAAAGCCAGTTGTCACAATCTCAAGTAAACTAAAACATGTATAATAAAGTTGTTGATAATGCCCATGTGGCTAAATAAAACCCAGTACATCTAAACTATTTTCATCTCGCCCTACATTCTTCATTTACAAAAAAAAAATCAAAAAATGGCATCAACTCGCCGGGAAAAACGAGTTGTACCCACTAAAAATACCTTAACAAAATCACCACTGATGTGGATAAAAAAAGCTGCATCATCACTGAACTTACCTTACCTGCTGTCATACCTGACAGACCCCCGAAAAATCGCTTTCGTCGCGGTGATCTTCGTGATCTTGGAAATAGTGCTGAACATAGTGGTGATCCACCATGTGCCATACACGGAGATCGACTGGCGCGCTTACATGCAGGAAGTCGAGGGTTTCCTGAACGGAACCTGGGACTACTCCAAATTAAAAGGAGACACAGGACCACTGGTCTACCCAGCAGGATTTGTCTACGCTTATTCCTTGCTCTACTACATCACTTCCCACGGAGAGGACATCAGACTAGCTCAGTACATCTTCGCGCTGCTCTACGTGGTGCTGCTGATCCAAGTACTTAGAATTTACGCCAATACCAAGAAAGTTCCTCCGTACGTGCTGATCCTAATCTTCTGCACTTCGTACCGAGTGCACTCAATTTTTGTCCTAAGACTCTTCAATGATTCTCTGGCAATGATATTTTTATTCGCCAGTCTGAACGCTTTCCTGGACGACCGCTGGTACTCGGGAAGTATAAACTTTAGTCTAGCAGTCTCAATAAAAATGAACATACTATTATTTGCTCCTGCATTATTTATCGCTTATTTGTGTAATTTAGGAGTAATTAAGACAATTATCCATTTAGCAATTTGTGGCACCATCCAGCTGATCCTCGGCCTGCCTTTTTTGATGGAAAATCCTTACGCTTACATCGTAGGCGCTTTTAATTTTGGAAGAGTCTTCGACTACAAGTGGACGGTAAACTGGCGGATCATCCCCGAAGAAATATTCCTCAAGTCTTCCTTCCATTTGGCACTTTTGGGGCTTCACGTAGCTGCTATTATCTACTTCATTCCCACCTGGATGACTTACATGAAGTGCTACGCTAAATTAAAGGCCGTAGGACGGGAAATCAAGCCTCAGATGAAGAGCAATAATGCTGAGGTCAATATGTCCTCGGTTAGCCAGCTGTTTATTTCACCGCTTTTCATTGCTAACTTCTTGGGCATCGTCTTCAGCCGGTCGCTTCATTATCAGTTTTATTTGTGGTACTATCACACGCTGCCATATATTGCATGGTCGACTCATTATATGCCGGTTACCAGGATCGTTATTTTGGGACTCATTGAACTCTGTTGGAATGTTTATCCTAGTACTGTTTGGAGCTCGGCGACGTTACATGGGTGTCATTTAATGTTGCTTTATGGTTTGTATAGGAATAAAGTTAAGAGTACTAAATTTGATTAGGTAATATTAGCAAAATTGCAGTCACTACGTGACTGCCGTAAAAAACAATTACTTTTGGTTTATTAAGGTGTGACTTTTGTTAAATTTCAATGTAATTTGTTAAATATTGACATTTTTTAAGATATAAGCTCATCCTGATGATACGCTCATCAAGAGCTTTCATTTGAAAAATATCAGTAGCTAAGGAATAATATTGTATCTTATCAAAACTAAAGATATTTTTGAAAATATAAGCTCATATTGATGATATACTCATCAAGAGCTTTTATTTGAGTACCCACATCAATTTTTAATATATTTTATATATCTATACATATGTATATATGAAAAATATATCAAAATGCAAGAAAAATTAAAAAATTGTCAAGTATCATATTTATAAAGATATTTATTATCTTTTTGTTTATTAATAACTATCTGATAAATAGTTTCATCTATTTAAAATAATTTTTAGAGTTAAAACTTTTTTTGATCGAATTTTAATTAGATGAAATTAATCTAATGTTTGAAATAATTAACAATTGGATAAAATTGTAGTTCTTATAGAATAAAATAATGCAGCCAAAAATAAAAATGTCAATAATAGATAATAGTGTGTGATAATTAAATAGAATGAATTGTTTTCTTGGAGTGAAATATTGAATTGTATAAAAATATGATTTTAATAGAATTTATATTAAAAGAATTTTATTAAAATGCATTGAAGTATGTGTTAATTATATAAAGATGTTTTCCGTGTGCATAAGTTGCTCAAAAAAGAATAATTATTATTATTAATAATGATTGTAATTTATAAAATGTATTTAAAAATATTAAATTTTATTAAATCATTTTTAAAAAGTAATAAGTGCAGTGGTTTTTTCACCTTTTTTATTCTCTAATTTCAACTCCCCGCCATTTTTCACTAAAAAAGAGTGGAGGGAGCACCTGTCAGTTGAATTTAAAGACACTACTGTATTTATCACACCAACAGAAATAACCTAGTTATTAAACGTAATTACAACGTGATACCTCATAATAAATAAAAAAAAGTTAATTTATTTACAAAAATTATTTTTAATATAAATATTAATTATAAATGTAAGTATTAAAAAAAACAATCAACTACCATAAAACTATTTAATATCAACAAAAAAGCCGGTTAACCTCAAAAACATTTTTATTAAAAAAGTTGTTGATATTTATTTTGCATATTAAGAATTTCATAACAAATAAATTATGGCAATAAAAATAGACTTGTAAAGATAAAAAAAAAAAATTGCAATTTTTAAAAAATAATTTTTTGAAACAAATTTTTTTAAGTAATTGTTTTCACAAAAAAAATTCTAAAAATTTCTATATGTTTGCTAATTTTAGTATCACAATAATAATTAATTTTATTTCCAGCTCCATCTCAAAGATGAACGAACTAACACTACCTCCATCACCAAACTGGTACATGACGTCAATAATGTCCTGTTCAACCGACAACACAGTAGCTTGGGGCTCCAAGAACATGCTGATAATTTCCCAGCCTCCAAAAGCCAACTCCAAATCTCTAGACTACTCAATAATAACCGACGCACATACCGACCGCGTGACCTCAGTGTCATTTTGCCCCGACTACTCTCCAAAGAAACGCCTATTACTCTCAGGAGGAGACGAGAGTATCATCAGAATCTGGGACCTCGAAACCCTGAGCGCAGTTCACTCCCAATTCTACGTAGACAGCAAGCAAAAAGTAGCCGGAGTCGACTGGTCCCCCAACAACCCCTCTCAAGTCTGCTCCGTGAGCACCGACGGAACAATCCTCTCCTGGAACATCGGCTTCAACGCCTGCCAATTCATCACACTCGGCAAAATGACCGCCACTTGCATAAAATACTGCCCGCATAAATCAAACAGCGTCGCAGTTGGCGCCAAAGCTGGCCTGGTTTACATAGTAAACCTCCAAGGCTCCGGAACAATTACCTACAAGCTCCGCGGGCATGATACTGAAATCACAAGTCTCTCTTGGTGTCCCTTAAGCGTCAACATATTCACCGAAAATAATCCCGAAGATTTTCTACTAGCTTCAGGGGCTAAGGACAAGTCAATCTTCATCTGGCGCGCTGGTGGAGACGGTAGGTACGAATTTCAATTAACCCTTCCTTCCGCGCCCCAAGATTCAAACCAACATCGCTCAAAATTAAGCAGTGGATACTTCACAGCTTTGTGCTGGCTGGAACCCAATTTATTACTCGCTAATTCCCCTTTTGGGGAGCTTCTAGCCGTGGATTTAAATTCAACCAAAAAATCCTGGCGCTTAATTCACGGTCACCACTCTCGCGGTCTATTTTCTATCACCAGTGTCCCAATTATTGTCAAAAACCTCCAAGAAAACTGGAGAACACCCTCTAGTCCACGAATTGTCTGGACCAGCGCTCAAGACCGCCAAGTAATTAGCACCAGCTTAGAAAATAATCAATGTATCCTCCAACAAAGCGTTCCAACTCAGGGTGGTTTTATTTACTGCCTATCAGCGTGTCCTCTAGAAACTTCATTAATTGCCTACGGGTCTGGTGACATGGCTGTAAGACTCTGGAACCTCACAGAGCCTCATGATAATTTAATTACCGTAACTTGCATGTGGCAGAAAGTAATGGGGAGAGTCACGGCCCTAGCTTGGCATCCTACGGAAGAAAATCTTCTTGCTTTTGGGACTGCTGAAGGCCGCGTTGGCATGTTTGACACCAATAATCCCAATAAATTGCCCACTATATTCCGACAGTATCACCGAAGAACTGTTTATTCACTATCTTGGGCGCCAAAACCCGGCTCTGATAAATACGGGCTCTATTCTTGCGCAGATAATGAATTAGTTTATTTCAACCCTGAGAAGGTTAGCGAGGAACCTAAGAGTGTAGTTAAAAAAAACTGCACTGAATTCGCTTGGAAGGCAGATTTGAGCTGCCTTGCAATTGGTTATGAAGATGGTTCTATTTCTTTTAGAGATTCTAAAGAGCTTAAACCTTGTGGAAAGACAATTTTTTTGCTGAAAAAAGCTGTTCAGTGCATTGCTTGGCATCCTGATAGTACTTTAACTGATCTAGAGTTCTCTGCTATGAGGAATTATATGGCTGTTTCTACTAGTACTAATAAAATTACCATTTTTGATATGACTATTATGGTTAATAATATTTTGAACAGTTCTAATGATTCTGAAGATAAAGATATGGTAACTTATAAGGTTATGGGTACTTTGAACGGACACTCAGATCGTGTAATAAGTTTAGCATGGAATCCTCATATAAGCGGTCAGCTTGTAAGTGGAAGCTATGATTCTACTGCTCAGGTTTGGAATGTTGAAACTCAAGAAATAATTGCCACTTTTACGGGACATAGAGGGCCTGTTTATTCTTGCCTTTGGAGCTCGGTTGATCCTGATTTTATTATAACAGGTTCTGTGGACTTTAGTTTAAGAGTTTGGAAGGTTTCGAGTCAAGAAATTGTCTTTCCAGTTGTTACTGAGGTTAAAAAGAGTAAAAGTAAGAGCAAGAAGTTGAAAACTAATAAAATAGTAATTGAAAAAAAAGTAAATGATATTGTTAATATTGGAAATGGATCTGAGGAGAATCTTGTGTTAGAAATTGAAAAATTGTCGGTTAAATCGGAGACTAAAGTAAGAGATAAAAAGACTAAGAAGACTTTTTTACCCGTTTATCGTAAGATGATGAATAATAAGGATATTGCTTTGGAAAATTGTCTTAAAATAGCGGAAAAACTTAAAAATTCAGAGGATAAATCTTGTGATATTAATGATGAGATACTTTCAGTCTTTGGAACTGAAGAAGAAATAATGTCAATAATAAAAAATGAACTTACGACATTTACTAGCCAAGGGCAGCACACAATGGCGACAGAATTGAGTTTATGGACTGGAGATTTAAAAGAGCAATTACAAACTGCAGTTAAAGAAAGACGGCTGAATGATTTTATGGTTTCGCTGTCTCCAATGGTGTCTATTAACACTTGGAAGGAAATGTGTGAAGCTTACGCAACTCAATTGCAATTAGAATCAAATGTAACAAAAGCAGTGGCTTATTTTTTGATAATTCACAAAATTTACCGAGCAATTGAAGTGTTTATGGAGGCTAAGATGTATAGAGAGGCTTACATTCTAGCTCGGTGTAAATTGGATGCAAAAGATAAGAAAGTAAAAGAAGTTCTTGAAGCTTGGGAGGGTCAGGCTGCAAAGTCTGGGGTTTATGAAGATGCAGCACAGTGTTCTATTGCTCTAGGAGACTTGGTGAGAGCTGCTCAGTTCCTGGCTAAGAGAAAAGATGTTTTGAATTTGAAAACAGCTGCTAAAATAGCGCTTCTTGCGGAAGATTCCGCGCTAGCTAAATCTCTGGCTGATCAAGCTGTGGTTGAATGTCTGCTAAAGTCTAATTATTCGTTGGCTAGAGATTTAATTAAAGAATTTCCAGCGGTTGAGTATCGGTTGGTTCATTTAGTAGCTTTGGAGGAAATTAATAAAGGGCTTAGTATGATTGATGACGCGTTTGTTCGCTTATGGATCAAAGGAGAGACTCAGTATGATTTAATTAGTGTTTTAAACAAGAGTAATGATAATTTTAATTGTCTAGAAGCGTATGATAAGCTTGTAAATATTACTTACCCGGATTTTCTGCAAGATGATCCTAATTTTTGGTTGGCTGCTAGCCATAACTTCGCTCTTGCTGCTGCTATTGGTAGTGAAGAACATCAGCTTCATCACATTGTAAAGACTTTTGGGATGATTTCTCAGTATGAAATACTGAAATCTAAAAATGAACTGGGTGTTAGTTACTTGTTAAGGTTACTTGCTTTGTTGCCCTTGAACATAGGCTTTAATAATGATGGTGATAATGATAAACCTATTTACAAAAGCTATCGAGCTTATCTGTGTTTTGCACTTACTACTTGGGTACTAGAAAGAATTAATTCTGATGAATTTAATGTTGAGAAAATTATATGTGTTATTAAAAAGTGCTTGGAGGATGCTCTGGATAAGGACGTGGTCAAATTTTGGACAGTTACTGCTGAAATTACGAAATTAGAGAAGTTACTTACGGCTGCCATTGGAAGAAAAGATGAAGCTGAGGAGGCTCAGCTTGTGGAGAGGTTGAATAATATTAGGAGTGAGAGGAAAAATTTTGTTGAAGAAAGGGAATGTGTTCCTAATCCAGTTGTCTTTTATAGCAAAGTTAATCAGTTGGCGAGTCTTTTAGAGGATTCTGAGTTTAAAGATACTGTTGGTACACTTTGGAGCAAAGCTATGGCTTAATTTTTTTTTTGATACTTTATAAAATAAGGAATTTTTTGATATTTTTTTTGTTAAAAACTAGTTTATAATGTAAATATAATTATTATTAAAACAATCCCATTTATGGTTTTTGAATATGGGAAATTTTTTTGTAATAATTTTTTCAATAAAAAACAATGACACTGAAATTGAGAGATGTTAAAAATTTTTTTATAATTTTATGGCAATTAAATTATTATAAAAAAAATTTAATTAAAAAATTCCACGTGAAAATTTTTAGATGCATTTTTTTATTGTTATTAATTTGTTATAAAAATATAACACTGAAGTTAGCAGACGTCTCAAAATTTTTGATTTTTTTTTATTAATTAAATTACAATTAAAAAGATATTTATAAAAAATTGCACTTATCTTTTTTCAAGTTTTTGACATGTGAAATTTTTTTTCTTAATTATCTAATTGAAATTTTTTTTAAAATTGACAGCTGACAGCTAACTTCAGTATCATAAAAAATAATAATATTGAAGTTAGCCAATGTTTTTAATTTTTTTTTTCAATAATTAAATTAGAACAAAAAAATATTTTTTAAAAATTATACTTACAGTTTTTCAAGCTTTTAAGCTTTTCACAAATGACAATTTTTTTTTATTTTTTTATAATAAAAAACATTCTAAAAATTATGACATTGAAGTTAGCAATTACTTGATCATTTTTTAATTTTATTTAACCAAAAAATTTGCTCCAAAAAATTATTTAAAAAAAATTGCATTTTTAGTTTTTTACAATTTCTAAATGTCAATTTTTTAAATAATTTTTTTTGTCATAATTTATTTATTGGAAAAATTCTTTAAAATTATCAACTATCTGCTAAGTTAATTTTCATCTAAAAATTTTTAGATGTCAGCTAATTTAATTTTCATTATAAAAGTTTTCAAACTGCAACTTAATTTAATTTTTGTAAAAAAATTCACTTGTAGAAATAAAAAATTCAATTTTTTTTAAATAATTTTTTGAAGAAAATTTGTTTGTCAAATAAAATTATTCCATTGTCAAGTGACAGAAGTGACAACTGACTGTAACCTCTTGAATATGTCTCTAATAATTTAAAAATTTTAAATTGAGGCTTGCGCGCCGAAACGTCAGTATTTCTAGAACTTCTCATCCGTTAGCTGTAAAAACATAACCTACAAAAATTTACAAGTGTTATTATTTAAAAAAATAGTTTATCTAATTAAAAATTAAATATTTAAAAAATTGTTGCTATAATAATTATTTAATTAAATTGTTTTTTAGTACAATTAGAGAAAATTTATTGTTTTTTCATGAGTAGTAAAATTTTAATTCAACAATTAAAATAAAACAATCTGTTTCCCATGCTTTTGATAGATTTATTCAAATAATAAAAAATAATTATTGTTAAAATTCAATTTGAATATTATTAATTGGTGAAATGAGTAGTACAAGTAAGTATAGTAGTAATTTTTTTCCATAATTGGGTAATATGTTATTTATAATAATTAAAATAAATTACTTTAAGGAAATTCATACCAATCAAAAGCTCCGTCTGCGAACGAGTTAGCAGAAAAATATAAAGTATATTACAAAAGTCAATTTGTTGGTATTGATAATGACCCAGGAGAGTCTGAATGTTTGTTTTGTGATTTATCTTTTATTTTGCCAACAAATGAAAAAGATTATTTATTCCATTTATTTGAAAAACACCGATTAGTTATAGGCGATGTTGAAAAAATTGCTAGTCTAAGGAGGTAAGTTTACAATTGTAATAATTAATTATGAAAATATAGTTAGCAGACATCTGTCAATTTTAATGATTTTTTTGTTGAAAAAAAATTCCATATGTAAAAAATTAAAAAAATAATAAGTGCAATTTATCAAAATATTTTTTTATTTGTAATTTAATTAATAATTTTGTAGCTATGTCCATTATTGGAAAGCGAGATGCAAAAATGAATCATTAATAAATTTTTGTACAACTATGTTGATGGATTGTACACCTGATGGCAAACCAAGTAAAGGCGAAGTTTATTATTTATTATCTGACTGCATTGCTGAAGATAAAACACTTCGTGATGAAATCCAAAGGGCTAAGCTGGTATTTTTTTTTTTTTCTGTTAATAATTATCATAATTACTATGGATTAAATTATTTGTTTTATTTAAGGAATGGGTAATAAATCAACAAACTTATGAAAGAACTGATACTAATTTCAAGCGAGGTTGTATGATTTGTAAGCAGGAATTTTCGGGTCTGAGAATTACTTATTTGACTCATTTAAAAGAAAAACACAATATTCAATTTGGTAAATACCATAATTTAGTATTTGTTGATAAATTACTCGATAAAATTCAGTATAATTTTGATAAGTAAGTATTTTATTTACTTTAATTCTTTAAAAAATTTTTTTCTCAATATTAATTTTTTTTTTACTAGTTTCATTTGTATTTATTGTGAAAAAGTGTTCAAAGATAGGAATGTTCTAAAAGAACATATGCGGAAAAAATTACATAAGCGCATTAATCCAAGAAATAAATCGTACGATGAATTTTATATTACAAATTATGTTAAGCCAAGGGATCCTTTGTGCCACAAAGAGGTATATAATTATAATTATAACAAATAGTAAATTTTATATTTATTAGCATTAAGTAATTAATTTTTTTTTTAAAGGATGAATTCGATGATGAATATGATGCAATAGTATTCAGTGACAATGAAGACGAAGAAAATCTTTGGTCTGATTGGACAGCTGAAAACAATCCTATTACTTGTTTATTCTGTAGTGTAAAAATACCTGAGCTTCCAAATATTCTCGATCACATGAAAGATGAGCATGATTTTGATTTTAATAAATTAACGGAGAATTTAAATTTTTATGAAAAAGTAAGTAATAAATTTTTAATTAAAAGACATTTGATCATTTTTAAAAATCTTTATTAAAAATAAATTGTAGCAAAAAAAATTTATTCAAAAATTCCATCTTTAAAAGCTCTAAAAAATTATAAATGCAATTTTTTAGAAATAATTTTTATCTAAATTTATTTTCCAGATAAAATTAGTCAATTATTTTAGAAAACAAGTACATGAAAAAAAATGTGTTTTCTGTGACCAACAATCAGATGATTGTCTTCAGCACATGAAAAATGAAGATCACTTTAAAATTCCTCCGGCAAGAATTTGGAACTTGGAAAAGTAAATTTATTTTTTTTTTTTTTTTTTATTTATTATTATTAGATTTTTTTTTAATATATAAAAATATTTATTTATTTATTTTAGATATTATTCTCCTATGTGTAAAGAAGATCCATTTTTATATCACTTAGATACTGGTAGCGATGATGAATGTGATGAAAGTAACATTGATAAGCTGTCAGATGATATGTAAGTTTTTTTTTTTAAATTATAAATATTTGAATTAAAAAAAAAAATTCTAACTAGACATTTTTTTTTTTTTTTTCAGAAAAAATTTATGAAAATTATGTCAAATATTCAAATTTGAAAATTCTTAATAAATTTTTTTTCAATAAAAAAAAAAACTGTCTTTTGTTTTAATTATGTAAGTTAAATTTTATTAATTTAAATTGAATTAATAACCAAACAAAAAGATGGAGATTGAAAAAATTTCTTTAGATCAAAGCAATAATTCATTTGAAAAATACAAAATTAAATTAGAGGGTTCAATGAGTGCTTTGGTATTTCAAAAATCAAAATACTGTGTTCTAAAACTTCATCAAAATTTACCGCATAAATTTTTAGCTCCAGAAATAAATGAAATGTATCAAATAGCGTGGTATGACTATCTTGAGAAAATTCGTCGGGTAAATCAATAAAAAATTTTTTACACTATGAATAATTGAGAAGTGGAATAATTAAGATTTTGGTTTAGACTATTGGAGGTAAAACATGGATACCAGATACCCAAGTGATTGTTCACTTGAATAATGAATATATTGGCAACCACTCGGATTTATTTGATTTTGTAGATCAAAATTTCATTATCAATTTACCAATTGATACTGAATTCTATGAGAACTTAATTAATGAGAGTTTAAAGAAATTTGTAGACAATCCAGACGTAAGAATTTCTTCCTAAATTGTTTAATTATAAATTAATTTTATGTTAATTTTTTTTAGCGTGAATTTATTTATTTAAAATTTTCTATTGACGGTACTCTATTAGGAACTTTAATATTTATGGTAAATTAGTAATTACAGAATTAAATTCCTTGATTAATGCAATACTAGCAACCTTGCAGTCACTATGTGACTGCCGTGACTTGTGAACTAAAACAAATTAAAATTTTGATTTATTAAATAATGACTTTTGTTAAATTGCACTGTACTTTTTTAAATACTGACATTTTTAAAGATATAAGCTCATCCCGATGATACACTTATCAAGAGCTTTCATTTGAGTACCCACATCAATTTTTGATATATTTTTCATATATACATATATATAATGCATATAAATATATAAAATATACGAAAAATTGATGTGGGTACTCAAATGAAAGGTCTCGATGAGTGTAACATCGGTATGAGCTTATATCTTTAAAAATGTCAATAGTTCACAAGATACAGGGTCATTTCTTAATTATTGACATTTTTTAAGATATAAGCTCATTTTGATGTTACACTCATCAAGAGCTTTCGTTTGAGTACCTACATGCATTTTTGATATATTTTTCATATATACATATATATGATATATATAAATATATGAAATATATGAAAAATTGATGTGGGTACTCAAATGAAAGGTCTCGACGGGTGTAACTTCGAGATGAGTTTATATCTTTGAAAACGTCAAAATTTCACAAGATAAAAGGTCATTTTTTAATTATATCAATGAAAATAAAATTATATTTTACAAAGTTATATTCCGATAAATTGCCATATACCTGTGAATATTTCATCAACCTTTGTCAAGGCAATAAAATAAAAAAAAATGATCAATATTTATGCTACAAAAATTCAACGTTGCACCGTATTGTTAAGGATCGATGGCTCCAACTTGGTGGTAATTAAATTTACAATTAGACAATTTTATCTACAATTTACACATTTATTACACGTAAATATTAAAATGCTTACAAAATTACTGGAAATATATCACAGATTTAGGATATGAAAATAACTTTATTGATGAAACTACAATAGTCGCTGAGAATTATTTAATTTTACACGATCGTCGGGGTGTTCTTTCGTTAGCTAATGACGGAAAAAATCACAACGGACCACAATTTGTTGTTTCTCTAAATCCCAATCCATGGATGGATAATTATTATGTTGCATTCGGGTAATAATTTTATTAAAATAAATTTAAAAAAAAAATAAAATTGACTAATTAAATTTTTTTTATAAAAAAAGACAATTAATTGATGGCGCAAACACTTTGAAAATAATTGAACAATTAAATACTTTTTATGAATCACCTTTACAAAAAATTGTAATTACAGAATGCGGAAAATTTTCTATTGACCAAAATAATAATCAAGTAAATTTATTTAATAATTTTTAAATTATAAATTAATATTTAATATTAATAAATTAATTTTTTTAAGGAATTACAGGAACAGAAAATAAAAAGTAATGAAAAATCAAATGAAAATAAATAATTGATTATTAATCAAAAAAATGAAATTATATTTCAAACGATTCAATCATAAATAAGCAAACAAAAAAAAAATTTGTACTTATTTTAATAAAAAGTAAATATTTTTAAATATATTTACTTTTTCACTGATGAAAATAAACCTTTGCTACGCACTTTAGTAATAGCTTTGCTGACACTACCACTCGTTGTATTTTCAGGCTTGTATTTTTTATGAAGCGCTTGATGAAGCATTTGTGCATTTGACTTATTACCTACCAACGCCGTCAATTCTTCCTGAAAGTTGATTTAAAATTTATCAAAATACTTTTTATAAAAATGAATAAATAATAAAAATGTACCTCAGTTAGACGAACTAAACTATCTAACGAGCCGCCTTTGTTCAGTATCAAGCGTAAATTTTTTGAATGAACGCCGGGCAATTTAGCGACAAAGTCATGAATCTGAGTGTTATATTTTTCACCCGCTGATTTTCCTTCTTCATCCTCTTCTAGACCAATTAGAGCAGCCGTCTGTGCGTCTGGCTGAGGTTTTCCCTCTTTCAGCTCTTCGAATAGTTGGGCAGTTGCCTGGGGACTTGGCGACCAGACGATTTTAAGTTTTGGAAAATGTAAAGTGAGCAATTGTAATTTACTTGTAACGTCTGAACTTTTCATATCACGGCTCACGTAATAATTTCCCTAACAAATTATTAATATTAAATCAATTAATAAAAATTAGTGCATTAAATTTTAAATTTAATTAAAAAAATTACTTGTAAACAAAATGATTTATTTTGATCAAATTCTATCAAAAGCATCGGTTTTGCGTAGTGCCTTGTCATTGATACAGCTTGATTGTACAATCTTCCAGAATTTAATGACATTATCAGATCAGAAATACTTTTTCTTTCGACACAAATTTCTGGAGTTATGATATAATCACCGACCTTAAAAAAGTATAAATACATATAAATGAAATTTTGTTTTATTAAATAATGAATTTGGTTAAATTGCACTGTAATTTCTTAAATATTGACATTTTTAAAGATATAAGCTCATTCCGATGTTATACTCATCAAGAGCTTTCATTTGAGTACCCACATGCATTTTTATATATTTTTCATATATACATATATATATAAATATATAAAATATATAAAAAATTGATGTGGGTACTCAAATGATAGGTCTTGATGAGTATAACATCAGGATGAGCTTATATCTTTAAAAATGTCAATAGTTCTCAAGATACAAGGTCAATTCTTAATTATTATCATTTTTAAAGGTATAAGCTCATCCCGATGTTACACTCGTCAAGACTTTTCATTTGAGTACCCACATGCATTTTCATATATTTTTCATATATACATATATATAATATATATAAATATATGAAAAATTGATGTGGGTACTCAAATGAAAGGTCTCGACGAGTGTAATGCCGGGGTGAGCTAATATCTTTAAAAATGTCAATAGTTCACAAGATATAAGGTCATTTCTTGATTATGTATCTAGAAACTATTATTATTAAAGAGAATATTATTATTAAATATTCCATAGTTAATGACATAATTTTTCTTAATTTATAATTATACTTTACCACAATAGTAACAGGCTCAATTTCAATTCCCCGTTTGTGTAACAAAGCTGGTAGTTCACTTCGAAACTCACGTATATCCACGATAATTTTAGGAGTTACTTTAGCTGTCGATTCAATACCACCCTGTCGAGTACTTTGTTCAACTTGGGGTGCTGCTGTTATGTTATCTTCCATTTTTCCATCTTGATCTGTTGGAATTACCATTGTCTAAAAAAAAAAAAACAATTTAATAATTAGAATAATATAAAAAAAAATTCTTTTATCTATCGAATTAAAAATAATTACCGTTTTGGTGTTAATTAATTTATCAAAAGCCTCTTTCTCCCGACGTAGTGCTGTTAAGTATCCTTGTTCTTCAACAGACCCTCCGTAGACGAGGAAAAAAATTTTTAATGCAATAGACGGGTTATTGTTTTGATAAACCTTTCAAACAAAAATTTTTTTTTCAACTAAAATTGCATTTTTTTTTTTTTTTAAGAAAATAACTCAATTTACCTCAAGTTGGCGAATTGATGATATATCTGCTCCGTACATAATAATAAAGCCAGGTAATGTTTCGTGTAAAGTTCTTTGCAATGCCATCGGGTCACCACCTCTTTTAACTGATTGAATTAAAATGATAGGCTCAGTCATGGAAGATAATTTTGAAATGTCAGCATCAGCGAGCTTAACAAAAAATATGTTAATTTAATTTAAATATTAAATTTATCAAAATCAATAATTCATACCATAGAACACTCTTCAAAAAAATTAGTTTTATTTTGATCTTCTTCAGATTCTTTTTCTTCAGGTGGTTTTTGTGAAAATGTTAGAACGTAGCTATCAAGTTCATTTTCTTCTTCTTCTTCTTCTTCTTTTTCTGCTGGTTTATCTTTTTCTTGACTGTCTTTTTCCTTTTTATCCTTTGATTTTTCACTTAAAAATTTAATTTAAAATAAAATTAACTGTCTTAAAAAACTAAGATGTGAAATATTGGAATAAAAATTTACCTCGGCTTCATAATTTCATTTTTCTTTAAAGATTTCATTGCTTCGTACAATAAATATTCTCCAGCACCCATTGTCAGGAAATTTTTCAACTGTACTGCTGTTTTAGTATCATAAACAAGTATCAATACTCTCTTAGTACTTTCAGATATATTATCTTTCTTATTTATTTGTAGGCGGATTTCACTGAGAATTTCATTTAATGCCTCCCACTTTGGACTTGGTTCGGGCTTTAATTCTGTTTAAAAAAATTTTTTAGTAACTGATTTAAAAATCATAAATAAGATAAACATAAACTAGCAACCTTGTAAAATAAATAAAATTTTGCTTTATTAAATAATGACTTTTGTTAAATTGCACTAATTTCTTAAATATTGACGTTTTTAAAGATATAAGCTCATCCCGATGTTACACTCATCAAGAGCTTCCATTTGAGTACCCACATGCACTTTTGATATATTTTTCATATATACATATATATAAATATATAAATATATGAAAAATTGATGTGGGTGCTCAAATGACAGGTCTCGATGAGTGTAACATCAGGATTAGCTTATATCTTTAAAAATGTCAATATTTCACAAGATAAAAGGTAATTTCTTAAATATTGACATTGTTACAGATATAAGCTCATCTCGATGTTACACTCATCAAGAGCTTTCATTTGAGTACCCACATGCATTTTGATATATTTTTCATATATTTATATATATATTATATATATATAAATATATAAAATATATGAAAAATTGATGTGGGTACTCAAATGAAAGGTCTCGATGAGAGTAACATCGGGATGAGCTTATATCTTTAAAAATGTCAATAGTTCACAAGATACAAGGTCATTTTTAAATTATGTATCTAGAGATACAAAATTTTTCTTATTATGTTAATAATATAAATTACCATTTTTATTATTATAAACTCGACTTTTAGCATTGGTAAATAATTCATCAACAGCATCCAATATCAACCAAGCACTTCCTTTCATCGCATACTCCATTGTCCTTAACCGATTTATTGACGCATAAAATGCCACTGAATTTTCTTGAATCAACTGCCTAATAAATAAATAAATTTATTTATGAATAATTGATTATAAATCAATTAATACTAATGAATAAATTATGATTATTATTTAAACTAAATAATAACTATAATTAACTAAAAAAAAAAAAAAATTAAAACTAACGTGAGAAAATATCCAAGTAATTTAAGATCAGCAATCAATTGCTTGGTACTCGACCCAAGTTGATGCCACATGGGATCCAGCTGACGCTGTAATTGCTTGTGAAATTTCTTGGCGATTGCATTTTCGACAGTCAGCTCATCAAAGTCCAAAAATTTATTCAACCTCTTTAAATCTTTTACAATAAAATTCATCAGATCTAGAAGTGAACTTTGAATAAGTTGCATTTTATGTGTGAGCTTTGCATGTAGTTCTATTACTTCCGGTTTGTGTTTTGAGAGACTCGAGTTTACGACTGAGTGAAATCGCGGCCAGAGATACAATTGCTTGACAAAAAGAGTTTTCATTACACGTTCGACTTGAGAAAAGCCTACGGTAAATGCTAACGCTGAGTTGGTGAATGCTTTAATGAAACCAGTCTAAAAAAAAAAATTATTATAAATTATAATTGTAATTATAATAAATAAGAATTAAATTTACCTTATTTTTTTGACGATATAACCGTAGTGCAAACGCTTCTTGATAACTATTTAAAATTCCATGAGCACGATAAACTAATATTCCAGTTACTAAATTTAATGGTACACGATTTTTTAATAAATCTACGACTAATATTCGACCGGATATAAATAACACACCTCCTTCTAAATACATTATTTCACTAGAAAAATATAATGGTAAATAGAAAAGAAATTGATGAGAAAATTACTATTAAAAAAATTAATACTTACCGTTCATTAGATGTATTTTGAGCAGTAACAATTTTAGGTAATGTTTTAACATTCATTGTTTTTAATCTATCTATAAAATATTTTTCATCATAATCAATAGTACCAAGTACAATAACCAAATTACCAGGATCTGAATAAACTTTCAATATATTTGTAAAAACAGTCTCCATTCCTAGCCCTCTGTAATAAATAAAAAAAATTAATTTAAAGAAAATTACATTAAATGCATGATATAAGCTAGCAACCTTGCAGTCACTATATTTTCTTAACTATTGACATTTTTAAAGATATAAAGTCATCCTGACGTTATACTCATTGAGACCTTTCATTTGAGTACCCACATCAATTTTTCATATATTTATATATATTATATATATGAATATATGAAAAATATATGAAAATGCGTGTGGGTACTCAAATGAAAGGTCTTGATGAGTGTACCATCAGGATGAGCTTATATCTTTAAAAACATCAATAATTAAGAAATTACCATTTATCTTGTGAAATATTGACATTTTTAAAGATATAAGCTCATCCCGATGTTACACTCATCGAGACCTTTCATTTGAGTACCTACATCAATTTTCATATATTTATATATATATATATATATATATATTACATATATGTATATATGAAAATATATTCAAAAATGCAAGT